ATGTCATGGACTTAGGCACAGATATATGGATTTTTGGCTCTTGGCTTTATTGCAGGGAGCCCTAAAAACTCTCCTGAGTTCTCCCACGCTTCATGATCCACCACACTTGGGGCGGGTAAAAATGTTTTCCTGCAAATCACTGAGAGGTTGGAGCCAATCGTAGGTCTCATTTTCAAGTGAGCACAACCTCTTAGGGGTTGATAACCTGATTTTTTTAACATGATGGCCTCTCATACCTAGGATCTTAGAACAAGTTCCTCCAAGGCCTGGGCTGGGAGGATTTTGAATGACCCCGTGTCCTGGGAGGGGATCTATGTCCTCAGCCTCTTCTGTTAGGTTAAACCGTAGGAAACTGCTAATGTTTAACTGTTTGAGGCCAACAAAAATGACCATTTTCTATGGCACAATCCATACATGTCCCTCTTTCCAGAGGACACTCTCTCCAGGGAAATTAGAGTAGCCTATTTTCCCACTTTCCTAGGTACAGGTTCCAATGTTCCATTCACCATTTCCCACAAGAGAACAAGGGACATGTCCTGACGTCCTAGAATTCTTATGATGGGCAGGCATATTAGCACTCCCACACACATACACCATGACCCTCACCATTTCACCGAAGAAATATAAACTAAATTCTAAAAGAAATTCAAAGCTGTGCGACTATTATTTTTATTCAGAAGGCTCACAAGAACCCATTCAAATCACATGACACCAAGGTACAAAATAACCTAGTAAAATTAGAATAGCATCAGAAGCTGAACTCCAGGTACCAGAAACACAAGGACTTTATCTCTTATTATTTCTGTTAACCAGGTAATTGTCTGGTGCCATTAGCTTGGAGAAAGGAGAAAGGAGAATCTTACAGGTCAATGAATAAGTGCTACTGAAGTTCAAGTTTGAACTTGAACTTGAGTATTGTTAGCCCAGGAGCAGAAAACAGCTCCTTAGGTCCCTGAGGGCCCTTGATTGGATGGATTTTCTGGCCTAGCTTTTGAATGAAGCAAACATATGGTGCTCTGATAGAGAGTAAATAGCCCTGCTGTTTTTCTGGGTGTGAATGTCACCAGAAAGTGAAAATTTTTGAACAATAGAACACACTGATAGAACAGTATGACTCGATGCTGCAAAGGCACTGTTCCACCCCAACCGTAGGCTGTCCTGGTTGGGGGTGGTGGGGACAGGCTGTGCTACACGGGAATGTGAACTCACCAGTGGGACTGTGGGTGATCGTCTCATCTGTAATTTCAATCCAAAGACCATCTCTGAGTCATTTTAGACCAAAGCACGGTCCAGTTTCCCCCAAAATGTCCTAAAATAAGTATATCCAGGGAGAGATACTTACGGGTTATGCACATGATTGGCACTGTCTCCTTTACCTAGGGCCACCATAACAAAAAAATACCACAAGTGGGTGACTCTAAAGAACAGAAATTTATTTTCTCACATTTCTGGAGGCTGAAAGTCCAAATCAGCATCTCAGCCACATTGATTTCTTCTGTGGGCCTCTCTCCTAGTTTCTGGTGACTGTCGGCAATCCTTGGTATTGCTGGGCTTGTAGATACATCTGTCTTCATTATCACATGGTGTATGTCTTCCCCCTGCATGTGCATCTCTGGGTTTGTGCTCTCCTTTAGAAGACACTTCTCAGACAGGGTTACATTTACGACTCATCCTACTCTGGTATGACCTCATTAATATAACAATAGAAAACCACACTTTCCAAACAGGGTCATACTTACAGGTATAGGGGTTAGGACTTCAACATAACTTTTTTGGGGGGACCCAATTCAGTCTAGAACAGGCACCATGCCCAAATGTCCAGTATTTTCAGGAAATGGCTAAAATCAATATGTTTCTGTGCAGGTTGTATCCAAGCAGCCTACCATTTTGTAACTGCTATTTCTTTATGTATCCATGTGTCTTAGAGTTTCATACCTTGTTTTCAAATATGTCCGTGTAATAATTTATAACTTGGGATTTTGAGAGCTAAATTTTTATTTTCAGTTCAGACATCTCAAATCAAAGTTAAGAAGAAAAAATGAGATAATATCCATTGAAAGACCAGTAATAGACAGCAACAGTAAATTGTTATTTTTAATTGGAGTAGCACGAATAATGGAGTCCAGCATGGTACAAACAGTTAACACACTCAGTTGCTAACTAAAAGGTTGTAAGGTTGAGTCCACCCAGAGGCTCTTTGAAAGAAAGGCCTGGCAATTTCCTTCAGAAAAATCAGCCGTTGAAAACTCTATGGAGCACAATTCTACTCTGACACACATGGGCAACTAGTAACATGAAAAAACCAAAAACTCACTGCCATCGAGTCAATTCTGACTCATAGCAACCCTACAGGACAGAGTAGAACTGCCCCATAGGGTTTCCAAGGCTGTAAAACTTTACAGAAGCGGATTGCTGCATCTTTCTCCCACACAGTGGCTAGTGGGTTCCAACCGACAAGCTTTCAGTTAACAGCCAAGTGCTTTAACCTCTGCACCGCCAGGGCTGCTTCAAATAACATGGAAGAGATATTTAAATGTCAAACTATAGCAATCTGAATGGATGCTTCTGTGTACTTTTGTTTTTTAAACTTTTCTGTGCTTTTCATTTTTTTTTTACCAACACATGTATTTTTAATCAAAATTAAAAGATAATGGGAAAATTGTAAGAGTTAGAATTATTGGCTTATTTTTCAACAAATATGTATTGAATGCTTCCTGTATGTCAGATACTGTACTAGGCATGGAGAATTTGATTCCATGTCATCATGGAGCTTATGTTCTAGTGAAAGAGATGGAAAATTTTAAAACAAACACAAAAAATAAAAACATAGTAACTATTTTGAAGGAGAAGTACTATGTTTACTATGTTTATAGTTCATGGTTTATATAGTAAGTATTATGAAGGAAAAATACTATGTCCAATGGAGAGATATGAGAGGGGAACCCAGGAGAGGCTTCCATGAATGACATCTTACAATAGCTAAGACATGAGGGATGAGTAGGAGCTGGCCAGACAAAGAGGCGAGGACATAGAGTGATCTAGATGGTGAGATGGGAAGGATCTTGGTCATTTGAGTGGCTGAGAGAAGGCCATTGTAGCAGAAACTGGTGAGGGAGAAGAGTGACCCAGATGATGCTGGAGAAGAAAGCAAATCAGGTCACGTAAGATTTTGAAGGCTACGGTTAAGTTGTGAAAGAAAGAATGTCTTTTAAAGATATCACTCTGGCCTTATGTACAGAATGTATGTGTAGGGGGAGCAAGAGTGGATATAAAGGCAGTTATGAAGCTATTGCAGTGATCCTGGCAGACATGATGGTGGCCTGCCCTGAGGTAAACACAAGTAGTATGAAGATGAGAGGACTTGAGGATACTAATCAACCAGACTGGATGACTGATTGCTTGTGAGGAATGAGGAAGAGGGTGGACAGAAGAAGTAAGAATTCTGTGGAAGGGAGACGATGAATTCAGGTGTTCTTTCTCAGATATTTTTTAAATTGTCAAATGGAATAACAGTTCATTTTAACAAGTAAAACTGCAGAGATATATTAGGAAAAAGTTAATTATCCTTCTCCCACTTCCAGGACTAACCAGTATTAACGGTGTGATGTAACTCTCACATCTTTTCTCTCTCATATATGCATGTAGTTGTTATATTTTTTAATTTAGTTTTGAACTTGTTAAATATGAATTGCTTCTAGAATTTACAAGTGAATAAATACATCAAGTAGAAAATTAGGTATAGGGGTCTAAAATTCAGAAGGGAGGTATGTTCTGGGGATATAAATGTGTCTGTCTTTGTGTAGATGATACCTAAGCCATGGGGGTGGATAAGAGTACCTGGAAGAGGGTGTTGAGTTACAAGACAAAGAAACCTGGGCAGAGTCCTGAGGAACTCCAACCTTTAACAATTAGGTGAGGGAGGAGGAGCAGCAAAGAAGTAGGAAGAAACCAGGAGAGTGAGGTACTGTGTAAGTCCAGAGAGTGGCAAGTGCAGCTGACAAGTCAGTTAATAAAGAGTCTATTAGATTGATCAATAAAGATATCGTTAGTAACATTAGGGAGTCGTATCAGTGGGTGGTTGGGCCAAAGCCCAGTTGCTGTGTTTTGAGAAGCAAATGAGTGATGAGTAAGTAGACAGAGAAAGTGTTGCTGCCCTTTTGAGAAAATTGTCCATGAATGAGGTGGAGAGAGAGAGTAGCTTGAGGGAAATGTGAGCCCAGGGAACCCTGTGTTTTGTTTTGTTTGATAGGTTTGCAGAAGCTAGAACAGGTAGCAAGAGAGAAAGATAGAAGTTAAAGGTATCGGCCAAATTATCTACATTTTACCTAGTTTTACCAAATCGGCCAATTTTGCATAATGACAATAAGTAGTATTAATAAGGAAAATTTCCTAAGAAGGCAGAAGTCATAGGATTCAGCGTACATATGGAGAAAACAGACAATGATAAGAGAAGGGACAGTTCACTGACTACAGCCAAGTGTGCATGCAGGTGGGTTTATAGATTTAGTGGCAGGAGTTTGAAATTGCACCTATCTGGGAAATTGTATTTTTTCAGTAGGGTAACAGGTAAGGTAATCTACTAAGGGAGAGTGGAGCTGGGGTTAGCAACCTGAGGACAATGAAGAGGATTTGAGGGTGGGGCAAACAGGCTGACCAGAGAAACACAGGCTATTGCTCAGCAGTACTAACTGAGTTTGCCAGGAGGCATGAATTTGGAATAGTGTCTGAAGCTGTGATGTTTTTGTAGCAGCTATCATTTCTCATCTATTGCAGGGAGGAGTGCACAGAGAAGATAGATGGAGTCTCCAATGTTAGGGTTTTTTCAGGAATAGTCAACAAAGGGAGAGAGAGGCAAAAGTATCTGCAGAAGTGATTAAATAGTATCCATAAAAAGCTGTTTACAGTATTATTATCTGACTCCTCAGATGTTTAAAGTAAGTACTGAATGCCTTAAAAATTAATGGAAGTCTTGTTCGTATTTTTGTTTTATTTTTACCTAGGGAGACCTTGGTGAACATGGGACAGGTGGCCCAAAAGGAGAAAAGGTAACCAGAATGTTTAAAGTGAATAAATATGGCCAGTATTTATACCTATGTATGCATTCACATGTCAGGGGCAGTCCCCCAGGCAGCAGGGTTCCATCCCAGCGGCGGCTGTTTTAGGCTTGAGGTGGGTAGGAGTCTCACCTGACCAGGTGGCAGTATTGGAATCTGCTGCCAAGATGGTTCTTCAGTGAAGACTGCTGAGTAGTAGTTGGCTACAATGAAGGGAACAATTCAAGGGTAAATACCTGTGACAGGGTAAAAAGAAATTAGGGCACAAGATGATTTGGCTTATAATTAGATATTTCATGAGTCTATGTAGGAGGCAAAAACAATCTGAAGACCTCTTTGGTAAAATGCCTCAAGCTAAGGCTCGCTATATTTGCGTCTTCTTAAGCATCCAGACACAAGCTGTCATTGGAGCATTTTTTGGTGAGGTTGTATAATGCAGAGCTATGGTTTAACCACATAATTACATGAAAACAGTTTTAAAATTAAAACGCTGATGAGTTTCCATTGCATTCTTCTTGTCATCATTCACGGGTTTAATTGTATTAGCTGTGAAGAGGACAGATTCACTGGCCCGCTCAGAAAGATGTTTCACTCCTGTTTGATTCTGAAATTGTGATGACCTTGGATTTGATGTGAATGTGCCATTGTCAGAAAAAACAGAGCACATTAAATCTGCAGGTAGAGATGAGCAGGTTTGAAAATACTCTGAAAGAATGTGGCATGTGAATGCTACCTTCATTCATTCACCCAGTAAGAATTCTCTTGATTGAGGGCAGGGTATTTTGACATGAATTCAAGAAAATATTACTTCTGTGCCTTATAAATCAGTACAGTCAATCTATTCAAAAGCTCAGGGATCCATCACCAGAAAATACTGCTAAAAGGTAGTCTCAGTTTGAACTAGGAGCTTCATATAGATTGACCATTGAAAATGAAATTTTCTGCAAAAAAAAAAAAAAGAGAGAGAAGGAAAGAAAAGAAAACCTTGACATTCTTAAAAGGACATTAAAAAATTTGATTACACAGCAACAATAAGTCATTTCTGTGTTTTGGATTGTACTGCTGGTACATTGGCATTATTTCCTGTAACTGAACAGCTTACAGAAACCATATACCACCATAACAAATGCGTGAAATTTTAAGCAATTACTACTGGACACATGCAGACTAATGGGCAAAAAGAAAGTCACAAAGCTTGTCACATAGGACAGCTGAGCAAAGAAGAGAGTTGTGATACTTTTAAAGTATTTAAATGATGATTTCATTTCTTGAAACAAAACAGCTGGCTTCTGTTTTGCTATGTTCATTAGGAAACATATGTTACTTAGGAATTCTTAAGACCTCGATGAGAAACTTGATTCTGTAAAACAGGTGTATTTCAAACTTGACGGACCTTTTCTATTGCTCAAAATCTCTTCTAATTGCTTCAGAATCTTAAGTGGAATTAGAAAAAGCCAGTGGGATAACTATTTCCTCCTTCCACCCAAATAAATAATCCACAGGAAACTTGATGCAGTACCTAATATAACCAAAAGGAAAAAAAAAAAAACCCATTGCCGTCAAGTCAATTCCAACTCATAATGACGCTATAGGACAGAGTAGAACTGCCCCACAGGGTTTTCAAGGAGCAGCTGATGGATTCAAACTGCTGACCTTTTGGTTTTTGCACCCGAGCTCTTAACCACTTTGCCATTAGGGGTCCCCCTGATAGAAATGTACATATGAAGTGATTTTTTTAAAGTATAGTTAATGGAGGAAAGACTCTGACAATAAATAATGCATAAAATAAACTTAAAAACGTAAGCCTAACACTCAAAGAAAGAAACCAGCTCTACCTATACACATCCATTCAATATCTGTTCTGAATCAATACATCAGTTTTTTAAATTATACTGTTTATGGGTAACCCCAGTCAGAATTTAAAGCTCCTTCAAGCTGCTCTCACAGATCTTTAATTGTTCCTGTGGTGGACTCCTGGCTGTGCATCAGAATCACCTGGAAAGCTTTCAGAAAATACCAGTGCTCAGGCCCCATCCACAGAGATTCTAACTTGGGGAAGGGCTCATAGCTCTAGTATTTAAAAGTGCCTCAGATGATTCTAGTGTGCACCCAGGGTTAAAAACCACGGAGCTTTGAGTCACAGTTGATTGTGCAATTTATAGCTGCGTCACCTTAGAAAAGCTAATTTATGTCTCTGACAATCAGGGTCTTCACTGGTAAAATGGACATAATCATATCTGTACAAAGAGTTGATGGGAGAATTAAAATTAAATGCAATGAACTCATCCAAATCACGGTACCTGACTTATTAACGCCTTACTAAAGATTTGCTCCTTCCTGTTCATCTACTGCAAACTTTATTTCCTCTCCCCAGGTTTCGTTTAGCTGTTTTTGGTATTAATAGTTGTTGCCATCTTTAACATCTTGTCTTGCTCAACTTTGCATCTCCCACTAAATTTTTCACAGATAAAGAATTCAATATCTATTGTAGAATAAAAGATTTAACCAGCAGTACAATGCAAATACATAAATGACTCATTGTTCTCTATAATATGATGCTTCTCAGTGCATATACCAGCAAAACAGAATCACAGAGCCAGACTACCATTTGGAACCCAGCATTGCAATGAAGCACCAGAATGTTTATAAGTAAATATTCTATTTATAGAGAAAACACAAACAGCAGTAAAATCTACATATAAAACACTCCTGGCTCAGCAGCCACATCCTGTATCAAGAACACCAAGATACGGGTGAAACCACCAACCAAGGAATACAGCTTGGTGTTAACAGTATATGACAGTAGAGACCATCCTGTCCAAGGGGTCAGTCTCCCAGTAAGGAAATGATGATCCTCACTCTGTAGCTTTGCTCGGACCAACAGGATGTGGTGAAAGGATAATGTGGTGAATGGATAATTGGCTGAGGGGAACTGCTTTATAAACACAGTGGAACAAGGTGGCAGAATATCTTCAGACTCCTTAGAAATTAGCAGGTGACTTTCTGCGTAGACTGTTAGGGGATAGATGGAACTTCAGCAGCACCAAGCCTTTCAAATAGCATCTAAAGTGTCACACTAAAAGAGACCCTTTTCTGATGCTCAGTAAAATCATCACGTTCTTCCCACTCACATTCATAATGATAAATGACTGAGAATCCACTTTAAATGTGAAAAACAACCCATAACTGTCTACCATTCAGGTATGAAGTGCTTTTACCTGCAGAATTTTATGAGAGAAAAAGCCCCTAAGTTTTGCTCCAAGCCCAACCACACCCAAGGACCACTCCACACAACAGACCGTGAAGCCTCTGTTGGGTCCTTTTTTAAGATTTCAACAGAAACCTGTTTACATCAATCCTCTGAGTATCATTACTCTTATTTCTCCATGTACATTCTTCTACCCTTCCCCTTTTATAGTGCTTTTTATGGTAATTTCTAGACCTCTTCCCTTTTTTATACTTTTATTTTGTGCAGGTGAGTCTCATTATCAGGCATATCATTCCATCACACCTCTGCACTGGGGACTTCCACACTTATCTAATGGGCACACCCTAATGGTCATACAAGGCCAATTTTTTTGTCTCCTCTCTCAAACTAACAACCATCAGTCCCTTAAATGTATTCACTAACTTCTCCCTCTTCTTAAACTTTAGATAAACATTTACTGTCTCTAGAAAAAAATCGTTTCTCCTACTGTGTGGTAAATGTAGCACTGATGGTATGCTAAATGTTTAGACGCTAGAAGGAAAAGCACTTACTTACTCATTTTACCCTGTATAAGGAATAAACATATATCCAGCACACTAAACTCTAAGTTTCATGGGCATCAATTCTAAGGACAAATTAGGCATTTAAATGTTGAGTGTGAGTCAATTTATAGGAAAAAAATTAGTTATGAATGTATATAGATGTTATGTGGACATAGCAAAAATTATGCAGTTTTCATGTGAATGATTAAATTTTGGGAAACACTGCTTTACAACACACATACTAACAAGGGTCTGTGAGTTGGCTTCTTACCTATTTGATTTCTTGGCTCTCCCAAACAAGGTTTTAACATTACTGACTAAACGCTTGACAGTATGAAAAATTGGTACCATGGTTTTTTAAAACTTAATAAAATTGAGATTAAACTAACAAAAGGTAGAGACAGCCCCAATGCCCATGAGTGGGCAGGGATAAACCCTGATACATTAACATGAGAGAATTCTATCCGGCAAATACAGTGAATGAACTAAATCTGTATGCATCAACATAGATGGATATTTAAAATAACATTGAGAAAAAAAAAAAACGAGCAAATCATACACTATTTATGGAATTTGTTTTAAAGATTCAAAATAATTATTTATAATTCCATGTATACAGTAAAAATACACAAATATGGACTGGAAAGATAAATACCAAATTCATGAGAGTGGCTCCCTCTGGGATGAAAATAGAGAGGGAAATATAGGTGGATTTCTTCTTTATTTTTAATTTATTTCTTTCATCTTGGGTGTCTGATACGTAGACACATGATATCCTACTTAATATTTTCTGTGTTTTTTTCTAAATAAAAATTAGACAGTATAGGAGAGAATAATATGTGTCCAGAAATGCAGTGGTGAGCATCATTTTGCAAAAGTGCTCGTGAAGTTGAAAAACAAAATCATCCTCCCATGTCTTCTGGTAGCTATGTTTAATCGTACAGTCATGCAGTTAGTTCATCAGGGATCTTGGTAAATGCTGAAAGGAAGCACAATGCGGACACTCCTCTGAAGTCTGATTAGTGACATATTTCCTTTCTCCAAGTATTACCTCTAAAACTGTATTTTCTCAAAATACTCTTTATATGTCACATACAAATCCCCCTTTAAGGTTTTTGACGAGAACATCTTAGACATTTCCAAGCTGCTGCTGTCACCACATGAAGAAAAATGCCTCCTTTGTCCACAGCCCATCCTCTAACCAACAGTATAAATGCTGGAAACAGCTGAGAGACTCATTTTCCTTCATATGACCACTGGGTTCTCACTCTCCCACCTCCCCGCTCCTAAAGAAAAAAAAAGAAGCATCTGAAAGAAAATGACCCTGGATTATTATGTCAGTGAAACAATTGAATGTCTTTGAGATCACAAAAATTCATGTTTCTTCTGGTACAGGAAAACAAAATTATATTTTTTCCTCCTCTAGATGCTCTTTCCTTAAAAAAATAATTAACATTTTCTTCACATTAATTTTAAATATAATGAAATATTGTGGACTTCTAACAGACATAAAGTGCTGATAAATACATTATGCAAATAGCCTAACTCAATTCAGAACTTTGCGTTATCTCTTAGACACTAATAGATAAATTCTACTGTTAGAAGGCGCATAAGCAGGCATTCTGGATGTGACATTTACAGTGGTACACATCTGGCCTTATGCAAAATCTCTCTCACTTTTTCTTGAAGGGTGAAAATGGACAACCAGGATTTCCAGGGTCTATTGGCACTAAAGGACAAAAAGGAGAACCTGTAAGTATTTTAGCTGTGAAGGCAGGAAGAAGAATATCCAAAAAATAGAACTAAAAATATTTTTCCAAATCAGCCCCAATTCCATGTGTCTTGGTTGCCCCTTCTGTGTTTAGACAATAGATCAGATATTTGAACAATCACTCTGTGTCAGGCACTAACTCCTTTCCATGTATTAACTCACTTACTGTATAGGCTATTATTATCCCCATTCCTCAGATAAGGAAACTGAGGCACAGAGAGGTCAAGTAACTTGTCCAAGGTCACACAGCTTGTACCTACCAGAGCTATTTATCACATCTAGGTAGACTAGTTCTAGAGATCAGAGTTTAAAATAACTAAGCTGCCCTGCTATAACTAAACATTGTGGCTAAAATAAATAATAAAATCAATATAGCAAAAAACTGGGACTAATTTATCTATTTGCTCAAACAGCTGCTCTCAGCATACTTTCTGAAGTTATTTTCCTTTCTTGGTTTTTATAAGATCAAAGTGGCTTCCCAAGCCACTTTTCAATATTACTGTGACCAGTTTCCTTAAAAACTTAGTTCTTTTGGTGTGAAAAATAAAACCCTACAGTGTCATTCATATTCAAATGTGACCATCTAAAGTGATTACATGAATCCTAGTTACAACAGTGACTTTTTTTTTTAATGCTGTTTAAAAAAAAAAACAGCAGGCCTCAAGAATCAGCCTTAACAAATGTTTCATCTTTGTTAAAAGATATAGTACATTTTTGAAAATTACTTATATGCCTTTCTTTGCCAGGACAAACAAAGAATATTGGTTTACAGAGGAATAAAGAGTAAAGAGGTCACTAAAATGCCTGCATGACAGAGAACTGTATTAAAAGTATTTAATGTTAAGTAAACTAAGCCAAATTTTCCCTGTGCTTCAGCTTTATAAATTAGGCGTCTTTAGCAATGGCAGTAATGTTTTCAGGCAGTTTTAAGACCAGTACTGTTACCCATGTACCCCAGTCTGCCTTCAGGAACTATGCTTAGTACCCAGCCAAGCCTCCCTACATGACTACAGGAAATAACAGTGTTTAATGGGCTTTCCCAACTGAGTATTTTCAAGACTATCTAGTGGTTGCTTACCCCCTCTGTCTGCCAACTCCTTCCTGATGCTCCACTCTTACAGGTTCCTCTTACCATATTTTAGAGTTCCTAGGTGGTGCACATGGTTAACACACTCAGCTGCCATCTGAAATGTTGGAGGTTCAAGTCCATCCAGAAGCACCTCGGAAGAAAGACCTGGCAATCTACTTCCAAAGAAATCAACCGTTGAAAACTCAATGGAGCACAGTTCTGCTCTGACACACATGGGGTTTCCATAAGTTGGAATCAACTCCATGGCAACTGTTTTTTTTTTTTTTTTTTACCATGGAGCAATTCTACTCTGTCCCATAGGACCGCTATGAGTTGGAATTGACTCAATAGCAATATTTGGTTTTTGACCTGTCCCTAGAGGTCTTCACTGTCTCAGCTTGCACACTGACATCCAGCCTCTCTTAATTTCCATGTGACACACAGCCGACCCAGCAATAAGATGTACTCAGTTTCTACTGGGAAAGACGGGAATTGTACAGCAGAAAAGAAAAGCTTTCAATAAGTTTCAATAAGAAGCAGGGCTTCTCAAACTTAAATGGGCACTTGAATCACCTAAGGATCCTGTTAAAATGGCTTTTCTGATTCAGCAGGTCTAGGGTATCTTATTATCAATTCACTAAGTTCAAATAATAAATAAATCAAATTATAAGTCACATCAAGCAGCCTGAGCAAGCAAAGCCAGCATTCTAGAATCAAGCTGCCAGGTTTAAATTCTGATCCACCATTTTCTGGCTAAGTGATCTCAGGGAAAATATTTAACTTCTGTGTGCTTCATTTCATCATTTGTAAATAGGGATAATAATAGTACCTTCCCCGCTGACTCAAGAGGATTAAATATGTTAATATATATTTATGTATAATGATTAGAACAGTGCTTGAGACATTGTAAGAATTCAATAAATATTGGCTATTAATATTGCTATCTGTGTCACTTTAAATTCTCTAATTTAATAAACTTTTATTGGGCACCAACAAAGTACCAGACATATGTGAGACGTCAGAGATGCTTTGATAGACAAGATGAATTATATTCCTACATTCACACAGTTTATAGCCAAGATAAACAATAAAATACACAGTGTGATGAGTGTTATTTTAGGGGAAATAGGGGGAGCTATGACAGTAGAGTTATTGAACCTCCCTGAATCTATTGCCTCATCCTTAAAATGGGACAATAATATCTTTCCCCCAGCATTGTTGTGAGAATTAAATGAGATCGTATACACATAATTTCTAGAATAGAGGCAAACAAGTGAAAGCATGGGTGTGTATTTACGCACGCTCGGTCTGAGTCTGGATTGTGGTAATAGAAACATAGTGGCAATGGGGAAAGTGTTGGTTAACGAGAGGTATCCCCTCAAAACTACTATCTCTCCCCAGGACCTTCCCACATAATCCAACAAGAACCCTTATCAGTTCTACAGACTTGTGCTGGTAGTCACCCAGTAATTAACCCCTTCAAGTAATTTTCATTAAAATAAAAAAATGAATATTAGTAAAGTATTTCAAAAATAATAATCTTGTATGTTTAAGCGTACAATTAACTAACTGGAAGAATTCAAATTAATGCCCTCCTATTTCACACTCAGTCCCTTTCACACCCATTCTGCTCCTGATTACAGTTTTGCCCCCTTGGGCAGCATTCCGATTTGTCAACAACCCAGGATCCTCTAAATATTATTAGAATGATTAACTCATTTTTTATTTGGGAATATGAAAGTTTTAAAATTAATTCTCATATGCTCCTTTTAAGCCACCCAGGCAGACTGTGTGGCATTCTAGATCATTTTAGAGGTTTGTTTGCAATGGAGGTCTGGGTGGCCTGCAGGATTTATCTACACTCAGTTTTGGAGAGTTTATTTCTAAAAATGTTTGTAATTTATTCTGTTTTCTATCGATTTTCCTAGGGGGAACCTTTTACAAAAGGTGAAAAGGGAGATAGAGTAAGTAGATGTTTTATCGCCATCTTGGGTTTTCTGCTTCATGGATTTCTTTCTCTTTGATTCTGATTTGTTTTCTTTGGAATCTAATAGATTTGATAAAATACAATTTTACTTTTCCTCTGTGAAGTCTGACCCTTATTTTAATAAATGGGAAATTTGAAACCTTGCTAAGTTTTACCAAATGATGATACTTTAACATTTTGTTTTGGTAGTACATGTTTTCTTTAACTCACTACTATTGAAGATTGGACATGAATACCCTATGAAATTAGATAGACTATGTCTATGTCACTATACCCAATAAACTAGCTGATCTTTTTTGTCTGTGTCACGATGCCCAGTAACTAGTTTTTCTTTCACAAAGTTAGATGATAGTAGTTATCTTTCCACTTGAAGAAAAGAATTACAGAGCCCACTTAATAAAAAAAAAAACCAAACCCGTTCCCTTCCAGTCAATTCTGACTCATAGCGACCCTATAGGACAGAGCAGAACTGCCCCATAGGGTTTCCAAGGAGCTGCTGGTGGATTCGAACTGCTGACCTTTTGGTTAGCAGCCACACTCTTAACCACTGCACCACCAGGATTTCCCCAGAGCCCACTGAGGATATCTAAAATTAAAAAAAAGTAATTTTTTTTCAAAAATTCTGTTAATGACACAAGTTGGATGTATCAAACATGGTGATTTTATCAAAGGGTAGTCAGATAAAAAAAACACCCAGGCTTTTGATAGGGAGAAGCTTTATTCAAAAAGAAAAAAGGGAAAGGGACTGTCGTGATAGTCGGGGGAGGGGGGTTGCTACGATAGGGAGACCATTCTGACCATAAGATCTGCAAGCGTCTCAAAAAGTTATCGGAAAAGCATTTTTCTTTTCTAGAGATTGAGAATAAACAAGGCTAGCGAATCCCGCCATGTGGAAAAAGGGGGTGAAAGGGTGACGTTGTAGGATAGTAGTAAATCAGAAAGTTTTATGCTGAGATCAGCCTATTCTCTGGGAGAGGCCTTTAAAGCTGTGTGGTATGTTGACTCAAACTGAAGGTGGGCCGAAGTTCAGGGACTCGGGGGAAGGAGGGAAGCTTAACCAAAATTTGGTTAACAGACATTTTGTTTCGGATTGATCAATATCAGTTACCAGTTGCCGCTGAGTCAGCTCCAACTCATGGCAACCCTATGTGTGTCAGAGTAGAACTGTGCTCCCTAAGGATTTCAATGGCTGATTTTTCGGAAGTAGATCACCACGCCTTTCTTCCTAGCTGCCTCTGGGTGGACTTGAACCTCTAACCTTTCAGTTAGCAGCTGAGTGTGTTAACTGTTTGTACCAGTAGGGACAAGCAATTCAATTACTCATTTATGAAGCAAGGAATGGGAATTTGGAGGGTCTGGTCTAGCCTTGTCCTCGGTAAACAAGGGGCCATCCGTGAGCCTTATCTAAGTCATATGGGGACAGTGATGACAAGGTCAGTTGTTTTAGACACTGTGGTCAGCCAGTCTCAGGAAAAGCTGATAAGAGGAGCATCTTCCACCTTTTTGGCACTTGCTCAAACTTGGGACCAAGCAGAATTCAGGGGCCTGTAGGAAGGAAAGAAACCTGACTAAAGTTTCATCAAGACAAAGCAGAGGGTAAGAAATGCATAATTTTGAACATTTGATAAGGGTTTAATAATGTCATGGAAAGTTGGAAAAGCAAAGTTATTATAGCCAAATTGTCCTCTCCTTTGTGTAATCTTAATTTTTTTCCTTTTTTTTTTTTTTATTAGTTACATTTCCCTGATAGTAGAATTACTAAGACACACCAGCTTAAACTCTACTCTTTTCTCCCCCTCACCTGAAGTTTTGATTCTCTCGGATATGAGATTCCAAAAACAAACAAACAAACCTGGTTCCATCGAGTCTATTCCGACTCATAGCAACCCTATAGGACAAGGTATAACTGCCCCATAGGGTTTCCAAGGAGCAGCTGGTGTATTTGAACTGCCGACCTTTTGGTTAGCAACCAAGCTCTTAACCACTGTGCCACCAGGGCCCCATGATAGGAGATTGTTGTCAGGTGTCTTCCAGTTGGTTCCAACTCATAGCAACTCTGTGTACAACAGAACGAAACACTGTCCGGTCCTGCTCCATCCTCACAATTGTTGCTATGTTTGAGCCCATTGTTGCAGACACTGTGTCAATCCATCTCGTTGATGGTCTTCCTCTTTTTTGCTGACCCTGTACTTTACCAAGCATGATGTCCTTCTCCAGGGACTGATCCCGCTTGATAACACGTCCAAAGTATGTGAGACGATGTCTCGCAATCCTTGCTTCTAAGGAGCATTCTGGTTGTACTTTCCAAGACAGATTTGTTCATTCTTCTGGCAATCCGTGGTATATTCAATATTCTTCGCCAACACCGTAATTCAAAGGTGTCAATTCTTCTTTGGTCTTCCTTATTCACTTAGTCAGTGGCAAATCATAACAATGTCAGTTAAGTAGAGAATGCAGAGATTGCTAATGGTACAGGATGTCAAAAGTGACATTTTGGGGAAAATTGTTATAAAGAAGAAAGAAAAATAAGAAATTATTGTTTACTTATTAACAATAAGCATTTTAAATCATGTTTTAAGATGAACCCACCTTCATTTCATTATATTTTCCATACTTTCCCTCTTTATTTATGCTAATAAGCAGAAATTCAAATGAATTGAAGTATCAGAGATGCTCATCTCCATCTGAATTTAAGCATTACCCATATGGTGATTATTTTATTTACAGGGAGAACCTGGGACAAAAGGATCACAGGGAATAAAGGTAATCTGACGTTCTCCAGTCACATCTCCAACCTAATGAGATTGTGGAAATTAAAGTAACCATTTAACTTTCATTCCCACCCATATATTTAGGGTGAACCTGGAGATCCTGGCCTCCCTGGCTTAATAGGAAGCCCCGGACTAAAAGTATATGAAAAATAACTGAGATAAATTGGGAAATAATTATGGGGTTATAGCCATTGCTATGTAAAACGAGGCACTTTCGTGTGCCACTCATTTTCTTCACAAAGGCTCTCAGAGATGTTATCATGTTTCCATGGTGATGTTTTCCTTTATCGCTGCATTTATTACACGCATAGTAACTGTGCCTTACGGTTCACAATAGGGTTTTCAAACTCTTTTTCAGAGCCTATTCACAATAGCATCCCTAAAAGCTTTAAGAGTAAACAATGCATGCTAAATCTATGGCCCTCAGCTGTATTCTTAAAATGAACAGCATTCAAGATTCAGTTTCTCAACCAAAATTATGCTGCCCTGGGATCGTTGAATTTCACAGTGGGGTTCTGCAGGGGTGTCCCAAGAAAGAGCAGCTGTTGGGAGGCTGCTGGAGAGATTAATGTGGTACGCTCCCTGCCAACGGGTAAGGCAAATTACCCAGGCATCACCTGCTGATGAGAAGAAACCTGTTTCAAAGAAAACATGAAACGATCTTTGCAAGCCCAAAGCACATTTTAATGTGATACAGAGAAGATAGGATTCTGGAAAAGCAGTCTTTCTATAGATAAAAGTCACACCATGTTTTACATATATTTAGGTACAGTCTCTCACATTATAAAATTGAAGCACGTTACCTTTTATTTTAGGGTCAGCAAGGACCTGCAGGTTCTGTGGGGCCCAGAGGACCAACAGGAGATGTTGTATGTATCGTAGACATAAGTGTCTTTGATAGTTTTAAATTGCAATTGAGACAAGTTTAAAAGAATCTCAACATCTATTCATGTGATTGAGTTATGCTGTGGTTTCCAAAGCCATGAGTCATCTCTACCACTAAAAATAATCACACCTAACGTCAGGGGCTATTGGAAGGCTAGTCCTTTCATGTATATATATTCTTGTGAGAACCTTTTTAATGTCATTAACCTAATAAATTGGTTTTGGGAACACAAATTAACTAAATGATCATTTTGGATATGCTTGTCAGTGGTGTACAAAGAATAAAGAAAATAGAAAATACACAAGGAAATATGGAAAACCAAGAAAGAGAGACTTCCCAGGCTGCTGTTGCTGTTTTCTAGCAACAGCCTCAAAAAAAACAAGTCTTTTGGCTGAAAATACTTCCATAATACAGTTCAAGAAAGATCCACAGGTTCCATCATAACCTCTTCAGTGAACTCAATTCTCCCCTTTACATGCACTTGCGGGTTCTCTCTCTTTCCTCTCTCTCTGTCGCTCTCTGTCTCTCTCTCACACACACACACTCCTGTTTTTTAAATGCCCTCTTTCCATCCATTTCCCTAAGTCAGCTTTCTAGCCCTTGGACAACCTCCTGACAACCTGGGGATCAAGACCTCACCGTCAATCCACACTTGAGCAAAACAAGAAAAATACTTGGTCATAATTTCCTGGAGACTGACCCCTATCTGGCCATGATTAGAGTTCCCCCTAGGCCACTTTTGGAATCTGTCATTATCTTGGGAGCAGCCACTGACCTCTCACTCTATTCTCAGCAATTTCAGACTGAGGCTCAGGGCGTCTGTCTGTCAGTGCACTTGGTTGTCTTGGTACTTTGAACATTCAGTTCACAGAGCAAAGCATTTTCTTGCCCCCAAGCCTCTTAATGAACCGTTATAGATGTAGTTAGTGGAGAGATGTCACAAAGAGAGAGAAAATGCTGGTGGCGTGGCTAGAGCCACAAGATGATCATGATGTGATGCTACCGACTGCCCTCCCTCCACTCATTCTTGGTGGTGATGTGGATGGCGCATTTGATTCAATTCTCCTTTACCTAGTTTCTCTCCCATTACATCCAGGTCACTTCACTTGAAACAACACGCCACATGTTTTCACTAGTGTTTATTCTCTGCTGAACAGGCCGAAATCAACCCCTTATAGTTTCGATGTTAAAATTTTGTTTTCCTAACAAACACAGATAGAAATGTTATCATGATAAGAGAGGTTCTAATTGCTCTTTTTCTTTAATTCTGAATGTTTCTAGGGATTGCCAGGAGAACATGGTAGCCCAGGAAAACAAGGCATTAAAGGAGAAAAGGTATAGTTTCCGTTTTACTCATTTTGTATATTAAGTAGTTAGGTAGGAGGAAGAGACAGAGGATCAGAAGTGTATTGGGGAAGTGAAAGTATAGAACAAGGCTGCTGGGACTGTGCAGGGGATAGATGTTCACATAAACTATGATGTGAACCATGCCCCCTAGAGTTGTGCATTGTGGGAACTCTGCTTCTAACTTAGAAGCACAATGTGAACAAATGAACTAACTTAGAGATGATGATCTCAGGAATCAGAAAGCCTTTTTCAGGCTTCTGAACTCTGGTATAGGCCTAAGAAGTCTTCTAATTTTTCAGGGCCTATTTCCTGATGTCTACGTGGAAATAGTATACTAATGTTGAACAATTAGTGGAGAATAATTTAAAGAAAACACATAGATCATCTCTGTGGATAAATATGCCCTTTTGTGCATGTGTTTATACACATGCATATGTATCATGATACTGCTACAATGATTGTAGCATAACTCACTACAAAATCTAGATGCATTTAAATAACTAGAGCAGTGCCTGGCATGAATTAGGCACTTGGTAAATATTTGTTGAATGAATGAATGAATGAATGAGTGAGTGAGTGACTGGAAGTATGAAGCTGACTGGCTATGATGACCATTTAAAACAATGGAAATAACTATCTCCTCATACCCTCCCCCCCGCCCACCATGGACCTGAGCAATGAAGTAAGAATCTTCCCTTGTCTCATCAGGGAGATCCAGGCGGGATTATAGGCCCTCCTGGGCTTCCAGGCCCAAAAGGTGAGGCTGGTCCTCCAGGGAAAAGCCTGCCAGGGGAACCAGTAAGTATCAGCCCTTTTCCTTTCAAAGATCCTTAATTACTACTTGTGAATTCCCAGTTTCAGATCACAAGTATAGAAATAATTTTGTCTGTAAAAGAAAAATATTCATCTTATTCTTTAGATCAGAGATCTGACTTTGAAAATCTGATGCGAGCAAAGGATTCTCTTCCAAAGAAATTACACATACACACACCATTTGGCATACAATTTAGAAGATTCGTAAAACTAACCGGTTGCTGTCAAATCAGTTCTGACTCATGGTAACCCCATGTGCGCCAGAGTATAACCGTGCTCTGTATGGTTTGCAGTGGCCGATTTTTTGGAATTAGATCACTGGGCCTTTTTTCTGAGGTGCCTCTGGGTGGACTCAAACTTCCAACCCTTCTGTTAGTAGCCAAGCTTGCTCACCGTTTATATCACCCAGAGACTCCAGCAGATTCATAAAACCAAAAAACCAAACCAGTTGTTATCAAGCTGATTCATAGACTCCCCTCCTACCTCCCCCACCCCAAATCCTATCCATGAATTCCTAAGGGATCTGTGGAGCCCAGTAATGTATGCTGTGGTTCAAACTAGAAACTTTCCTAAGACACTATCTTAAAGCAGAAGAACCACCTGAAATTTCCCTTCCAGAGGCTCTGCAGATATGGTTGTCGTTCACAGAAAATGGCTCTTTTTTGCCAAGACTGTTCCCAGAAGATTGGAAACTAGAGTGCTGGAGAATCTAAGTAACCAGTGTACCTATTTCATATGCCTTTTTTCTCATATAATTTGAACGTTGTACGCTAATTAATGATGGTAAATAGTTCTCAATATTAAGTGCCTCATTTTAAAGATAAAAACAACATATATTTTAAAGTAACTATGCAAAATACTATGGCCTATTGAAATTTATATTCTCCATTCCTTATTCTTATAAAGAAAAAAATATATATATAAAGGAAACATTTTTGAGTTATGAAATGTGAGATGTTTTTAACCTTTCAGTAAAAAATGCATAAATCTCCTTTGTTTTTATATTTCAGGGATTAGATGGAAATCCTGGAGCACCTGGTCCACGTGGGCCGAAGGTATAAAAATATAAGACTAATTTTTAAAGTACCCATAAATTAACAAAATATAGCAGATAAATCAGTGTCCCTTGCTCTTTGCGCTAACAGAAGCATCTTGTTGCACAGGGCGAAAGAGGACTGCCAGGTGTTCATGGTTCTCCCGGTGACATAGGCCCACCAGGGGTAGGAATTCCTGGACGAACAGTAAGTGAAATCCAGTCGAGTTCTTGAAACCTCTATTGAATCCAATAATGTAAAACAAAACTCCCGTGATAAACTTGAATAGGGTAAAAAGAATAAAATCGTCAGAGGCGGAAATACAAATAAACACTAGTCAGAGGGAGGGAATCGATGGGCATTGAGGTTACATCACTAAACACAGAGAGTGTTCACTGTTTGTTTATTGACTTACAGAAGCTGATCACTTATACAATAATTCTGGATTGTTGTTGTTAGGTGGCATCAGGTCGGTTCCGACTCATAGCGACCCTGCATACAACAGAATAAAATATTGCCTGGTCTTGTGCCATCCTCACAATTGTTGTCATGCTTGAACCCACTGTTGCAGCCACTGTGTCAGTCTATCTCGTTGAGGGTCTTCGTCTTTTTCACTGACCTTCTATTTTACCAAGCATGATATCCTTCTAATTTTGGGTTAGGAGCAGTTGTTTAACCCCTGTCTATCTATACTGTATATATTTAAAGGTACAGTAGCATGTTTGTAAGATTATAAGAATAACTAGTATTAGGTTGTTATGTATTTCAGGCTTTTTTAAATTAAAAATAAAATAAGTTAATGCTTAATGTGTATGGAATATGTACAAATAAAATGATGCCAAAAAGCTATAAGTAATCCTTTGAAGAACAGAGATGAGAAAGTGTTTTCAGTGGATGAGACAAATAAAGGACAGTTTTTAAATGTATTTTCACCATAAGGAGAGTCTAGAACAGTGTGTAATAGTAATGACTACTGTATACATGCTTGTTGACTAAATAATAATAAAAGATAAACTTGTTTATTTACTATGAAAAAAATACAAGGTTTTGCAACAAGAGAAGTGAAAGTAACGTCATCCTAATGACATTAGTTTAGGAAATTGGCCTTATAATGACGTTATCATGAAAGTTAAAAGAAGGCATAAATAATTAATGGTTACATTGTGTGTGACTAGTGTTTGACTTTTCCAGGGTAAGAATATAAAAAGCCATTGGAGATGGGAGATTAAACAAACTAAAAAAAGTAGACCAGGAAATTATTAGGGCAGCGATGGAGGTTGAAGCAAAAAAAAAAAAAAAATCACTTAAAGTCACAGTATAAATTTTTTTTAAGGGAGTAAAAAGTAGCATTGACAATAACAGTGAAATGGGTATCTCTTTTTAAAACTAAGAAAGGAAAAGTCAGTAAGCAGTTATTGAACTCAGCTGCTGAGAAACCAGCTCTCATTCACTCAGGTTGTAAATGCCTCGTTCAATGGCCCATGTTTATGTAATAGGAATAGAACTAAGGTCATTAGTTTCTGATCATCTCCCAGCCTCATTTTAGTTACCCCAGATTTCAGCTTTTTAAAAGTAAAAAAGACTAACTGATTAATGTTTCATTCCTTACTTCTCTAACTACGCACTACCTCTGTCAGTTTCTTCAAACAGAAATGACCCAAAGTAGAAAGCAGAAAGGAAAGGAAGCCCCGAGCCAGTTACCCCCACGGGCAGTCAGTGTCTGAACAGATAGAAGTTGGATGCACTGTTTGTGCACTTGTGAATGTGTGGGCACTAGGGATAGTAATGAGAGAGACCTTCCAAGTGTTTGAGCAAAATCATGTTGATGATCCCACCAAAAGCAGTCTGGTGAAGTGTTTATCTACCACCTGAGAACTTGGCAGACTTTGAAGCGAGTGTTCAGAGTGTGCATGGTGGCAAGTCCTATTGTTCCACTAAGTGAATTATGATATTTAGTCCTTCATCCCACATGGATCATTTAAGGACTTTCCTCTCTCGCCCTGAAGGTGGAATTCTGATAGTTGTATCTCATTTTACTCAGGGCTCCCGAGGACCAGCTGGAGAGCCAGGCATTCAGGTAAACTACTTAGCTAAGTTATTTGGCATAGCAAATCCAGCTACCTTACCTGGAAGAAATTGTTTTAAAAATCATGCTCATAAGTAACTATTTTTCTCCTACTTCAGGGTCCTCGAGGTCTCCCTGGGTTGCCAGGAACTCCAGGAACTCCAGGGAATGATGTAAGGACCATCTTTGTTTACTCATCCCCTGTTGTTTTAATCTATGCCTGTCCAGTGTGCAGACGTTTAAACATGATGCTTCTGTTTTCAGGGAGCTCCAGGAAGGGATGGAAAGCCAGGCCTGCCGGGCCCCCCAGGTGACCCGGTATGTAGACAGACTGAGCCTGATTTATGTATCTTTAATGTACCCAGAAGCCAAACAGCCTACTAAGCAAGTTTTGCTGTCCAAACTAATTAGAATGCTCAGTGACTGCTTGGTGATTTTGTTTATCCCATTATTTTGTAGAGGAAAAAAATTCAAGCTAGGTCAGCATTTATTTGTCTGTGATGAATACTTATTTCCTAAGGGTGTAATTCAGCTGTACAGGTTTGCCCCAGGCTTAGCCCTGGCATCTAATGTCTCAATCCCATGGAAAATTGAGTTAAAATATATAGCCAGAATTTTCCTTTTCCTAATGCTAGTGACTAAATGAATTTCATTTTTCTAAATGAAATTTTGCAGCTATGTTACCTACAATATGGTACATATCCATTGATTCTGTGGCTTTAAAAATGCTAAATGATTAAATCACTAAACCTGGCTTGAGTAGGCTCCTAAAAAATGGGTTTAGGCACTAAAAATGTGTTCCAGAGTTTTATGTTAAGTTACATTCTTGCTTTGAGGAACAGTGAAATCCCTTTAAATGGCCTCAGAATCAGCAGTTATTAATATGAGAGGCCAAATGGTACATGACATTATATTAAGAGTTTTGTATCATAAAATCCAAATCTGGCCTCTCAGGTCTACATCTCACAAATCCATCTGCCTTCCACACGGTTTGGGGGCCTTACGTGCTTTTATAGGCTACGTGCAGAGGCATATTTTGTCCTTACTTCAGCTCCACCGCTGAAAGAATCGTGTGTACATTATCTGGGAATCTTGTAAAGTGTTACTTAGGGTTTACAGAGTGTCTCTCTGAAAGGGCATTTTAAGGCAGGAGCCCAAAGCCCTGCCCAAGTTCCCTCAGTGTCTGTCTTGCCCACCATGAAGCCAACTATAGGCTCTTTTGAGCTTCAGTGAAAAATTAAGGCAAACTCAGCCAGTGTTGTTCATATTTCTCTACAGCTGGATAATTGGCTTGGTAGAGGAGTGATTTCCTTTTAATAAATGATTTATCTTTAGGTATTATTTAAAACCATTCATATACTGGGGACAGCATAGAGGTTACCATGTCATTAAAATATGAAATACAGATGCAGAATCAAAACAATGATATGTGTGTGTTTGTGTTTGTGTGTTCGTTGTAGAGAAATAGTGGCTATTTCTCAAAACTAATTATGAATTTTCTCAGGAACATGTGTCTGTTTCTTCATATGAAACATGTTAAGCCAGTGATTCTGACAATGAGACTCTGGAAGCCCCATGACAAATCTCGACCAGCATGGCATTTTGAAGAAAACTACACTATGTTATATGCTTGTATTTTATGCATGTATAAATGTATAAAAATATATGTTTCCTTTTTTTTTTTTCCTCCTTAACTATACAGATTGCACTTCCTCTCTTGGGAGACATCGGTGCCTTGCTCAAGGTACTCTGCTGCTATGTAAGAAATTTCGTGTTAATTTCCAGGAAAAATCAGAACGGAAATCTTTACCAGGAATTCAGTTAATTGCTTAGCCCAAACTACAATTGAATTTTAAATGGCAGAACATCTTTAGGTTAGAAAAGGAATATGTAGCTTTACGTATCTGGGCCATTTATACTAATCCCTCCAATCTCTTCTTCATTTTGATTATATGTGGCGGGGGGGGATTAGGGGGAGTAGGAGGAATGAGTTCTAAGATGAAGTGTCAGTGACACCCTTGAGTAGATCATTCTCTCTTGTCTGGAGGAACAGCTTTCTCTTTATGGTTGTTTACCCTCCCTGGCTCACCACTGTGAAACCTAATCCTCACTGTATCTTCCCTGGCCAGTCCCAGGAGGGGAACCAGTACTGCTCAATAAACACCTAGCTTGCATGGCTGAATTTTGATGTCATGGGATTTTACAAAGTGAAATCCAGAATTCCAAAGTCGACAATTGCCCTGACACCTGTTACCCTGTTAAATAAAGATTATCTCTACCTGTTATCCATCTCATAGTGAATTAATCTTGATACCAATATTAATTTTTTCCTCAAATACTTCTCTGTATTTTATCTATGAAGCAGACTGAGGGGGTGTTGATAATGGGACAGCTGTAAGGTTATGTATTTGCATGTTTCTGTATGGTATGCTAAGATCAGCACGAGTGGATCCGGGTGAAAAAAGATATCCCTTTATACTCACACCTTATGTGTCTTTCTGTGTGTATCCATGTATTAGTGGGCAGCATATATGTGTATACACACACACACACACACACACACAGACCACATGTGTGTATATATGTTTATTTTATATTCCTAGCACTTAGCACTGTGGTTTCCACAATGACCTACTCAATAGTAGGCAGGCAAGAATATTTGTTGGATTGACTTCAGAAGACTCAAGAGTTCTAGTATATATGTGTTTTTTAGGTGGTAGGAATTTTGAGGATGGATGTATAAATATAAATGTAAATATGAATGTAAATACATATTAGAGGAGTTTTTAAGACCTCCAAAAGCCAGTATTTTCTTTTAAGTCAGAAAAGAATATTTGTGGGGATTTCAGGAAGGAGATCTTATATTTACTGAGTTACAATTACAGGTAGTTCCCGGGTTATGAACATCCAACTTAGAGACAACTCCTACTTGCCCTTTAATGATATGTAAATTTGCCCTCATTTTGAAATGATTGAACCAACCCCTACTTGCAACAAATTCTTCATCACAATCACCTTCACTTGCTGCACGTGCAGCTTTTAAATTATTGAAAAGGCTTCAACCCTTTTCTTGTACTAACCCAAACCAAACCCACTGCCGTCAAGTTGATCCTGACTCATAGCAACCCTGTAGGACAGAGTAGAACTGTACTGTAGGGTTCCCAAGACCATAAATCTTTACAGAAGTAGACTGCCACATCTTTCTCCCATGGAGCAGCTGGTGGATTAAACAGCCAACCTTTCAGTTAGCAGGCAAGCACTTAACCACTGCGTCACCAAGTTTCCTTTCTTGCACTAAAGTAAGGCTAAATGAGAATCGTATGCACCTGTTCCAACTTACCTACAAATTTGACTTTAAAACACACTTAGGAAAGGATCTCGTTCGTAACCCAGGGACTGCCTATACATGCAAGGGAATGTCCTGTTTTACTTACATCATCTCATTTAATCTTCACAATAATTCTATGAGTTGAGATCGTTGCACTAGTATTCCCATTCTGTAGATGAGAGTTCTGAGCTTCAGAGTGGTTAAATAACTTGCTCAGAACACAAAGCTAGTAAGTATAACATTAACACTGGAACACAGGTCCTCAAACATTAAATTCTAGGTTCTTTACAAGGGCAGCAGTGTTAGAAGTGGCAGGATTGTGGGAGTAAATTATTCCAGAATAGTTAGGGTTCTTGACTGTGAGGATTATAAACTTGTACACTTAACCAGAAATAAATTTCCTGAAAGAATCTGGGGTGGCTCATGGAACATACAAAAAGACAGTGAATAGATTCAGACAGGGGACCCGGGCTTCTGGGATCTCAAGAATGGAAGTAACTGACAATCTCCCCAGACAAGCATCCCTCTAATGAATGTCCTCCACCATAGTTCCATTCCTGCCATCATCTCATTAATGTTCTAAGTCCCAGGATTGCTAATTGGCAAGTGGTGGACAGGACGCCTCAATGATAGACCCAACAAACTGTATTCAATAGAAGAAGGGGGAGGAGTATAGTTCCCAAAAGCAAATCTAAATACAAGAATTTAGATCAGGGATTGGATCTATCAGGCCAACCTAATGCTGTAATTTTAAACCCTGATCCTGTTACCCAACACATTAACTCCCCCTGTCACCCTGAATCTTTTGCAAAATTGATTCTTCTGCTTTCTGTTTTCCAAAATATCTTTGACTAAAGTGTTGAAAAGAACTGACCTAATTACAGATCCAAATGCTATGCCTTCAAAGACCTTCCTCTAGGTTTATCTGTGTATCACTCCCTCTTGGAATGAGATTGTGCTAATAATTAATGCATCTTCATTCTGTCTCCTAAAAAAAAAAAAAAAGCTTAGGAAGTTTTTTCAAGAACTTTAATGAAGTCAGTTTCCCTGGTCTACCATTCCAGCAACCCTAACCCAAAGGAAATGATTTTTAGAAAATACTATTCACTCATAATGATTACCGTTTCTTCCTATTTCACTAAAATAATCCATTCTAAAATGATGCTGCATGTTGATAAATGCCATGTTTATATGTCTACAGATGCAATAATTTATCTTTTTCATAATTTTTGAAATATGGAGAACCTTTCTGGTTCTGTTTGATCCTCAGGCAACTTTTTAGCTTCATAGGTTTTCAGATATTATCACTGATAGTTCTGCACTTTTACATATGTATGTATATATATATTTATATATGTATATATTTACTCCACTCTTAAACACATTAGCCCTGTAAAATGATCCAGGTGGTAAAATTAGTTTGGGAAACATTGCACATTCTAGCTCCCTTTTATATATTCAGGCTTTGAGAAGGTCCACCATTTAACCCAGCATTTTTTAGACAGTTGGCCTCAGAAATGTCTCAGTATCACGCAAAAAAGGAACACATTTTTGGAAATCAGAGCTATGCTAAGGTTCATTGGGTTAAAAGTATTGAATTTGAATAGCCATGGGCTTTCTTGCCAAGTTCATCAATGGCAAGCTGCAGTTCCCTTTTGAAGATGCTTATTCTACATTTCATTTTTGAAGATTTTTCTCTTTGGTGAGAAACATGGAAGAAATAAAGGCTTATATTGGTCCTATCTTCTGTCAATTGTTAAAACTAAATGATCTCCCCTACTCAGTGGTCCTTATTTTATTCCTTTCCTGGTCATTTTCTTATTCTAACAATTTTTTAAAGATAAGCTCTTTAGGGCTTTTCACAGACGCTTCTTCTTTAGCTATGTGATAAGACTTATGTTTATCTTGTGAGCTCAGACGCTTAATTTCAAGCCTTCCCAGGTGAGCTAAAGGTTACGGAGAAGGCAATGGAAAGGTAATTCCACTTAGATTTCCTATCAGCATTTCGATTTGACAGAGGAGTCAAGTCCAAGTCACTCAAGTAATTCTTTCTCACATGAGTGCTTCCACTAACAAACAGAATGTTAGCAAACTGTGTATCGAGTTCTCCAACAAATTTTTCTCTTAAAAAAAGAAAGCCTTTCTTCACAGTTCATTATTCCTTCTTTCCTTCCTTTCTTCTTTTCTTCCTTCCTTCCTTTCATATGATTTGTGCTGTTGGTTGTATGCGCTCTGTAATCTTGTGGATTATTCCAAGCTTTATTATCCCTTCCCTTCTACTGCTAAGCAATTGAAACTTATTCTGCATCCTCAGCTTCTGTTTCTTTTTTTATTTATTTGGAATTCCTAATTTAAGTATCATCATTAACATTTTTTAAAATTGGTGGTGGTGGTGGTGTTGTTAGGTGCCGTCGGGTCAATTCCGACTCATAGCAACCCTAGAGGACAGAGTAGAACTGCCCCATAGGGTTTCCAAGGAGCAGCTGGTGGATTTGAACTGCTGACTGTTTCATAAGCAGCTGAGCTCTTAACCACTATGTCACCAGGGCTCCTTTTTTTTTTAAATAGCAACTCATCATAAACAAATTACCATTTGCTTTTATTTATAAATAGTGTTTTCCTCAAAAAAAGTAGTATGTTCTAATTGGATAAATTTAGTTTCTAGAAAGTAGTGTGACCTAACAATTGCCATATCACACTCATCTCTGACAAAGGTTCAAATAGATCCTCAAGTATGATCAAACCTTACTCTTACAGATTGCTTTTATGAATCTCTCAGTAACCATATGTTTATACTTATTAGAACTTCTGTGGCAATTGCCAACCCAGTATTCCTGGGCTGAAAAGCAAGAAAGAAGAAGGAGGTGTTGGTGAGCCTGGGAAATATGATTTTGCAGCTCAGAAGGTAAGAAGTCTGGCTGAATGCTTATAGAAACTGCAAGTTGCACACCCTGCAGTTTCTTAGTTCTGCTTCTGCTCCGTCCTCCAGGGTGATGCAGGACCCCGGGGTCCTCCAGGAATCCCAGGCAGAGAGGGGCCAAAGGTACGGAATCTCCCCTCTGCTCCCCACCAGTGACCCTCAATTCAGTGTGAAAAAAAAGATGCCCATTTAAAAACACACTGTTTGTTTTTAGAAAATATTTTAGGAAAGTATTGTAAAGCCATTTGCAAATGCTGCCATTTATCTATTCCCTGACCCTGTCCATGCCCCAGGTGTCCTGAGAAGAGATTTTTCATTATTCCGTAAGGTGACAAAATGATTGAGTGTACTAGCTAATTTTATTGTCTTTTTTAGGGAAGCAAAGGAGAGCGGGGCTACCCTGGGATACCTGGGGACAAAGGTGACGAGGTAAAAGATTCATCTCTGATAATATAGCCCTACTGTTAATTCTCTTTACTTGACTCAACACAGGAAGAACATCAGTTTTTCTATAGCTCATGTGCTCATGTTAGAACAGATAAAAATGAGGACTTGGGTAGGTCTTTTCAAATGCTAATACATTCTAAATTATAATGATACATTGGTGTTTATTACCAGTGGTCATTTATTACCAGTGGTGCAGCTTATAAGGAAATTAAGGCACCAAGTTAACATATTAGTTAAGGTTTTTCTGTTTTCATGTAGCAGATAACAACCTCAGGGGCTCTCCCAAGATAAAAGTAAGAGGGAGAAGATCCTGCAGAGATTCCCAGAGTAGCTAATAAAATTGAAGGAATAGTTGAACAACCAGGCTAAGAATAAGAGCAGCTCCAGAACTCAGCAAAACTGCGCTGTAACACGATTCAACTCCAACAACCTTGGTTTGTCTGTGTCTTTGCTATACTTGCAAACTCCCGAAAGAAAAAAACTATCAAGAGAATCTGATTAGACTAGTTTGGATCAGCTCCCACACTCTGGACCCCAAGGTTCAAAGTCAAATGTGTTTTTTTAAATAATGGCACCATTTTCTGACTCTAAGCCATGATTATGCTCAGGATATAATTTTTTTCCTGCATAATTCACATTAACTCTTACAAAAACCAATTAGAATGATGAATTGTTGTTAGTTTAAACAGTTTTGATGCTAATAATTCTTAATGAAAGTAAGTAAGCCATCTGGCATATATTAACCTTGATATTAGTGCAGAAAATCATAATGGTATAAAGTAGATCTATCTTTTTCCAGTTGGGGTTTCATGTTACAAATTATCATCATGTGTTATTGTTTTTAATTAATATTGATTCTATTCTAGAAAACTTGGAGGTTTGGCTTGTTCTCTTTCCAAGTTAAAAATTGAAGAATAAGGAAATATATTTATTTTTATCTAGAAATAAAACATTAAAGGCATTTTATATTCAAAATAAGTAAGAGTAATTGAGCTTTTGCTTCCTCACAGTCCACAGAGAGTTTCACTAAAGTACAAGAACAATAACTGATTTTAATAGTCCAACAGCTTTTAACTGCCTAGATTCAAGAGGTAAGCTTTAGAGACAATTTAGAAAGTAATAACAAAAAGGCCAGGAAATAATTGGAATTCAGGTATTTTATAAGTGACTGTAAGTTAAATTAATTAGACCTCAATTTTTATTGATTGTACAGGGTGCTTTGCTCTCTTGGTGAACTGAAAATCTGTTGTTAATATTCCTCCACTATTTTAGTGTGTTTTTTCTTAAGTACAACTTAGGAATTCTTTAACACAGTAGACACAAGATTTTGCATAAGACTCTTGTTACGTTGGTAATGCCAGCAACTTCAGAAGGAGATTATTTTCAGTTGTTTCTTCACATCACATGAATAATATGAATAAACCTAAAGTAACATATTGACTTATTTGGGCCTTTTTGGGTGAGTGGGGTGGTACACCTTTTCTCTCTCATAGACAAATGGGAAACAGTGAATTATAATCTTGTCTTCTTCTTGTAGTCAGATACTACCTGAAATTATAATTTGCTGCTTTGTTTAATTGAATAAAACTTTAATCAAGAATAGATGCATTTCCAACAGGTCAGATAAACTGTTCTGTTTTGACATGTATGTATATTTGACTAGTCCTACAAAATCCCAAATGTCTATTCAACTTTTAATGGAAATGATGCAGAGAGACACCCTTTTCTCTTTGTAGACTTCTAATTATTCTGTCTTCAATTTAATCTGTTTGGGGAACTTTTCTTAGAGAGAGGAGTTGCTTGTTTACTGCTTGTGGAAGAGTGATATTATCCTCAATCTACATGGTCTGAATTTTTTTTTTTGCAGATGGTCGTGATAAAATTCAGGGTAGCAACTTGTAGGACTCTAAGAGAATATAGATTCACCTCTTACAGAGTGAATTCTCACTTGGGATGCAGGGTTTACTTACTATCTTTCAGGATAATAATTGAGAAAGATAACATGAAGAAATATTGTCACTTATAAATTATAGCAATGAAAAATAAATATTCTTGGTAGTAGCTGAGCTAGGACTTGCAAAATCAGAATATCAAGGAAGGGAAAGACCTTGACTCTAAAGATCCCTTGACATCTGTGCAATACATTTTAATTTGTACTTTAGTTTGGCAGTATATGCTAAATTGACTGCCCTACTCTTTAATAAGTATTTGTCTTCCTCAATGCCATCTTGTCTCCTAAAATTATCTTATTGCCCTTTATGCATCCAGAGTAACTTTTATCCTCACTATAGAATTTCAGCTTGTTCAGAGAAAGACTGCTGAGAATGGTTTTTTTTTTTATGGACTGTGGTTTATTTTAAAGTTTAATGTGGTCATCAAAGGTTAATGAGTCCCAAGCTTATAAATTAGACAACCTAAAGACTCCCTCAGCATCTCTACAGTGATTCAGTATTGAGACTAAAAGTAGCAAAAAAAAGAAGTATGTATGGAGACCTGCATAAGTGGAAAAATATACCTTGCTCATGGATAGGTAGACTCAACATAGTGAAAATGTCAATTCTACCCAAAGCAATCTACATATACAATGCAATCCCAATCCAAATTCCAGCAGTGTTTTTTAATGAGATGGAGAAACAAATCACCAACTTCATATAGAAAGGGAAGAGGCCCCTGATAAATAAAGCAGTACTCAAGAAGAAGAACAAAGTGGAAGGCCTTACACTACCTGATTTTAGGACCTATTATACTGCCACGGTAGTCATTACAGCCTGGTACTGGTACAATAACAGATACATAGACCAATGGAACAGAGTTGAGAATCCAGATATAAGTTCATCCACCTATGAGCAGCTAATATTTGACAAAGGCCCAAAG